TGACCCACAGAGGTGGGGCTGAGGGCCTTGAGGGTAAGGCTTAAGGTGGAGTGACACACCCCTTGAGCATTTATTAACAGTCTTGCAAGAAGTTTGTAAAATAGACTCACTTGAACAACATTAACCTGAGCATTTCCACCTAAATTATAACCTGTTAACTTCAGCAATAAAACCTTATAAGCACTGTCTCTGAGTTCTGTGTGGCCACTTCAATGCAATGAATTATAATACCCAGAGGGAAGGCAGAGTGCAAGAAAGAGATTGTCTATGTGAACAGGACAGTCATTGTGTCAATATGCGGAGAAAGTGGATTGCCTAGAAGATATCAGAGAGTAGGCCTGGTAGTATGTCGTTAGTAAGTGTGTAGTTTCTAGGAAAACATTCCCTTCAGATGGAGAATTAATATTGTATTTCATGATTATTCTTCAAAATTAGTCCCTTTACCTCCCTGTAAACTCTTACATCCTAAATCCACCATTGATGTTCTTTACATAAACAGCCAAAAATGAATTTGAGGAGTTTTCTCCCCCTCAATGTCTTCAATTGCTACACGTTGAGGAAAGATTACAGTCCAGCATCTTTTATTCAAAGACTTTCCTGAAGCTTACTTTATTAGTAAATGCAATGATATCTCTGCAGAAAACTGTAATCAGACCATCATAACATGGCTAGATTCTAGACCGAGAGTGACTCTTTCTTCTGGAAACCAGCTCTTCACTCATTTTTTTCCACGAATTTTTCATTTGTCATACAACTTCTTTATCTAATCAGAGATGAGGGGAACAATACATGGATTTTAGGTTCATTTTATGAACCTTGTATCCTTATATTGCATATATAAAACTATAACATTACAGAAAGGAGTCATTAAAATAAACAAAACAAACCATTGCTGAATACAACTTTGATTTCCATAACAATCACTTTATTTTACAAGTTTAACCCAGAGACTGCACTTTCAATCATTTAACTTGGGTATGATAATGAAGTTTCCTCTATTTTCTCCTATAATACAAAAAAAAATACATACATAGGAGCTAATCTAATGTATTAAGAATGAAATGGCGGTACTGATAATATTTCAATGAGAATCTTTGAGAAAAATTACTATTGTTTCTAATTCAATTTTAAAAGGGTGGAATGTGTCTTCAAATTTTCTAGCATCCTTTCTTCACCATCACAGATAAGTGTGAACCTAAACTAATGCTCACAACTTGCATAGCATAAGCTACAATATATTTAGCTTAAATCCCAGTAAATTCTCTAGTATTTCCCTCCTCCCCACTTATGAGCAATGGGAATTACTGATCATAAAAGTTCGCTAGAACAGCAGAGCCAATTTTAACTCCACATGAAAGAGGGGGAAAAGAAGTTTCCTAGTGAAACCAGTAA